GCTCTAGAGACTATTGTGTATTACGTCAAACATAAGATGTTATTTTATATGCCTATAATAATAATTTTAATCAAAATTTAGGTTCAACAGATGCTTTTTGCCATCTATATTTACAAAGTTTTATCAACACCTTCACTCTTTCGGAACAAAATTCATTGTGTGCAAAGTTGGCATATTCCCTTCCTGTTTCTCACTTAATCATGTGAGACTAAATTATCATAAACTTTAATTCATAACAAAGTAATCATTTTCATGGAGACTGTAATAATATTCATTAATGCAATATTATATTTATAGCAAAACATTAATGCTGTCACTTGCTCGCAAAAGCTACAATAAATAGAATTATCAATAAAAACAAAACTGCATTTAGTAATGGAAAAATAGCAGTGCTATCTGGTAGAATCAATAATGGCAAGTTTCCTACTCGCTTATTTGTTGAAATCCATGCTTCACTTAAGCTGCCATACACCAGGAAAACGAGAACATCAACTTCCATTGCAACCGAGTCTGGAATGAGAGAAGGAAGATAAAATTACCTAATTACTAGAACAAGTAAGTTTCTAAAGAATAAAAAGATATGCACAAATATTTAAAAAATATTTGAAGTTCAATGCATAATTGATAAACAGTGCATGGTAAAAATTTAAAAGCAGCACAAGTGGTACAACTTTTTAATTCCTTTTAAGTTTCGGTATTTATAATTTAAAGACAGACATTACTGTATAGCCGGTAATTTTCGTGGGTTGCATAGTTCATGGATTTCGCGGATTCCTTATTGATTCACGAAAATTAATTTAATACGGTACCTGCATGGTACACGTGGTAGAATTCACGAAATTAAAATCCGCGAATTGGATTGTTAGTAGATTTTGCGAAATATAGGACCCAAAAATTACCAGCCATACGGTATTATATGTACATGTATTAGAAAAGGCTTACTGATACTGCATTGTGTCCATTCAACAGGTACAATGGATAACAAACAGTAGTCCCCCAACTCAACAGTCAACAATCAAATGATTAACACATGTCAGGCTGAGGTTGTCCTTGCCTGTAGCCAATCTATGATAAAACAGTCAAAAAATTATAGCTACATGTACATGACATCAACTAACTTTAACACAAGCATCCGTGAAAACAAGACGCACCTGAATGTGTTCAAATTAAGTTGTTAGTACTTGTACTTTACCGTAAATATCAATAAATGACTTTAAAATACACAAATCCTGATATACAAGGGAGTGGTGATCCTGTCCCGTCCAACAAAGATCAGGAACTGGTTCGTCACTACAAGACGCACCTAAAAGTGTTCAAATTAAGTTGGTAATACTTGTACATTACGGTAAATATCCATAAATCCCATTAAAATACACAAATCCTGATATACAAGGGAGTGGTGACCCTGTCCCATCCAACAAAGATCAGGAACTGTTCCGTCACTACAAGACGCACCTAAAAGTGTTCAAATTAAGTTGGTAGTACTAGTACTTTATCGTAAATATCAATAAATGACTTGACCATTTTAGGTTGTAGACATTGATCCATTCAGTTACTCCTGGCTCACAAGGATGAATTACAATAGCATCATATATCTACATGTACACACAGTATGTTATACAGTTGTATCAATTAAAGATGAAAAATTACTTAATGATCATGTACATGTACATTGTACATCATGTAAATGCAAATTTCTGGAATTCAAGAAACAAAAGGAGTAAAATTACATACCGTACATTTGAAATGAAGAACTACACAACCTGTATGCACATGTACATGTACATAGGTATCAAGCAGGCTTAAATAATTATTTGAGTGTGGTCAAATGCTTAAATAGTACTACAATAGAGTACTCGTACTCATACTCAATACAATTTGCAAAAATGAGGGACTTGTACTTGTACTCATTTTAAAATTTTAACAGGTACTTGTAATGTACTTAAATACTTCTTAGAGTACATGTACTTTGCCCCAAGCCAGGTAGCAAGTAGAAATTTAGGCAAAAAAATTTTACCAATAAACCAAACCTTAACTTAAGACGTTGGCATATGGTAAAACATTTGTAAAAAATTATTAATTTTCGAACCTTCATTTTTAAAAAGCAAC